GAATATAGATTTTTGTAGGAGGCAAGAATGAATAAACTGCTTTGAGGCCATCAATAAAAAAGAAAGGTTTACAGTATTGAAAGCGAGTAAACATCATCAACGTAAGGAAGAAAGAACAATAAGCCGCTTACACTTGCTTGTATAACCCCACTGGTTATACTTATAGACTTAAAGTAACAAGATTCAAAGAGAATGATTTGACCACGTTCTGCTGAAAAATATTTGAATTAGGATAAATAGGGATTTCAAATGCTACGTGAAAAAATGTTCCAGAACAATAAGAAAGTTGTGCGAGAAACTGTCGAGAGCCCCACTGAAATCGAAGTACAGAATTATCACTGACTGAACAATATATCTTCTGCAGATATATTAACCAATCACAGGTATCAGTACCGCCTTGTATACCATGGCATCTCTTGAATCGGAAGAGAACGTGGTTATTCACTCTTAAAGGTGAACAGACATGTGTGATTTGTATCATGTTGCCATAGTAACTAAAATGCTTGGATTGAACTGTTTCGAGATGGTTAATTTTATTGTAGGTAGTAGGCACTGTATGAAATAATAAGAAACCCAAAGTTATCATTGAAAATGGATCATAAGTAGTAGTTGCTTGAATACTCGTGGGATTAGCTTAGGCAAGAATAGTGTTGTGATTGTGAGTAAATTTATTAAACTTGTCATCAGTTCTAATGTAGTTACGCTCGCGTCAGAGAAGACGTAGGAAAGCCGAAAAAGCCTCTTGATTGTTACGAACATCTGACAGAAGCATGTTGTACATTTCAGGAGCCGGATGATAAAGGTTATCATGTCTGTGTGAGCAACCAAGTGGTCGCTCAAAATTCGGACGACTTTTTATATCCGAGGTATATGTAACATGTTCTAGACATCTATTTACAAGGCTAGTAGTTTGTTTTAGCTCTTTCCAATGGGAATCTATAGTTTTTAAGAATACCTTCGGAAGTTTGCAACTTTCGAATATATCAATGTATAATTCATGGTCGGTTATGTAATTGCTGCATCCATTCTGCCCGTTTACTGTTGCATAGTTACCGCAACTGCGTGTTGCACTAACAGGAAGTTGAACGGTGTCATCTGATTTGTTATCGGAAGGTATGTTTATGATCAGATTCAAACTAACATTTTTAGAAGAATGGACACTATTTACATTTCGGTAATTATTCCGAGTTCTGAATATTAAGTGATTCAGGAGAATTTTCAGAGGTGGCAAACTTGTCAAGTAAAATGTTCTCTCACAATCAGACTTAAATCTATGACCTCTCGGACTAGGATACGTTCAGAATTTTGACGCTGTTGGTTTGTAACTAGCCTTATCTGGAAGAACATTAACATCCCTGAATATCTGTTTTTGTCTGATCACGTTGAAGAAAGTTAGAAACTCACTGACATTTGCAGATGTGTCGGATTTGAATAAGATAGGTGACTACATAACAGGGTGGCTTTTATTCTTTTGCACACACATGCTATGTTTTGGGATTTAAGCCAATTAGACTTGATATTTTCTAAGGAATACATGTTCGGTGCATCAAACACCATTACATCTCTGTATCATTCATTAGAAATCTCTGAGGCAACATCACCCATGAGATTATATATATATATATATTGTTTATGTTCTGCATTCCCCGCGAGTTTGGGTTTGATATGAAACCTAAACAAATCAAGAACGTCTATATTAGATTTCAACTTCTTTATATAATCAGTATCGTTGTAGTGAATATATTCATCATTATTTGTCATTTGAACCCTCAGCATGTCTGAAATGGCGAGAACTGGCATAAGCTTGTCTCGTTCTTGATAAATCGAGTAGCATTACTCATAAAAACTTCCAGAAGTCGTGTCATCAGTTGTATCGCGAGCAAGCGGGTGCAGTGGCAGAGATGCAATATGGAAGTACGTTTAGCAATACAATAGAACGAAAAATGATCACATTGGATATACTTTAATCCAGAGATTACACGGAAAGATACACGTTATACTATAAAGCCATATTAAATGACCGAAATAGGTAGTGTATGTGGAGCATATTCATACTGAAAGCCTGCTTGAGTTAAAGTTGGAGACTGAAGAGACATGTAGATTTAAAGATGATTAATACCATCCAGAAATAATTTGATACTTTGTGACCAAAATAGAAATGACGGCTTTTTATGTAAAAATGCTGACCGAAAAGCATCACAGACTCACAGAATCAAACAGATTATTAGAGGAAGTAAATGAATTAAAGTATTCAAATACAATTTAAAGAATACCATATAAAATAGTGTTCGAAATCCAGTATATGGTGGCTCATAATGTATGATTATGTAATTTTGAGTCTTAGATTGGACACTATTTACATTTCGGTAATTATTCCGAGTTCTGAATATTAAGTGATTCAGGAGAATTTTCAGAGGTGGCAAACTTGTCAAGTAAAATGTTCTCTCACAATCAGACTTAAATCTATGACCTCTCGGACTAGGATACGTTCAGAATTTTGACGCTGTTGGTTTGTAACTAGCCTTATCTGGAAGAACATTAACATCCCTGAATATCTGTTTTTGTCTGATCACGTTGAAGAAAGTTAGAAACTCACTGACATTTGCAGATGTGTCGGATTTGAATAAGATAGGTGACTACATAACAGGGTGGCTTTTATTCTTTTGCACACACATGCTATGTTTTGGGATTTAAGCCAATTAGACTTGATATTTTCTAAGGAATACATGTTCGGTGCATCAAACACCATTACATCTCTGTATCATTCATTAGAAATCTCTGAGGCAACATCACCCATGAGATTATATATATATATATATTGTTTATGTTCTGCATTCCCCGCGAGTTTGGGTTTGATATGAAACCTAAACAAATCAAGAACGTCTATATTAGATTTCAACTTCTTTATATAATCAGTATCGTTGTAGTGAATATATTCATCATTATTTGTCATTTGAACCCTCAGCATGTCTGAAATGGCGAGAACTGGCATAAGCTTGTCTCGTTCTTGATAAATCGAGTAGCATTACTCATAAAAACTTCCAGAAGTCGTGTCATCAGTTGTATCGCGAGCAAGCGGGTGCAGTGGCAGAGATGCAATATGGAAGTACGTTTAGCAATACAATAGAACGAAAAATGATCACATTGGATATACTTTAATCCAGAGATTACACGGAAAGATACACGTTATACTATAAAGCCATATTAAATGACCGAAATAGGTAGTGTATGTGGAGCATATTCATACTGAAAGCCTGCTTGAGTTAAAGTTGGAGACTGAAGAGACATGTAGATTTAAAGATGATTAATACCATCCAGAAATAATTTGATACTTTGTGACCAAAATAGAAATGACGGCTTTTTATGTAAAAATGCTGACCGAAAAGTATCACAGACTCACAGAATCAAACAGATTATTAGAGGAAGTAAATGAATTAAAGTATTCAAATACAATTTAAAGAATACCATATAAAATAGTGTTCGAAATCCAGTATATGGTGGCTCATAATGTATGATTATGTAATTTTGAGTCTTAGATTGAGGTATAAACTGAACCAGTAAATCCAGAAAGCTTGTGGCGTGCACACTTTAAATAGAATATAAGGTGCAGTATGCAAAAGTCATATATGATTATACATGTTTTGAAAGTGATAGATTTCGGTCGTGTCAAATATCAAGATGGATTTTCGGTCATACGCATGCGGTATATGTGCTCTGAATATGCTAGACTGAAACCCTATTCCTACAGCAAAAAATATATGTAGGTGTTTCTGAAGGAAAAGGCTTTTCGTAATCCTAAGAGAAAACAATCCGTACTACTTTGGGAGAATACGAAAAAATACTGCGTGATTGGGTCTGAGAGTAATTTCCAGTTCGCCATAAGCAAAATCGTTTGATCAAAAGTTATTAAAAACCGAAGTCGTCTCAGTTTCATTCCAGCACATTGAATATAACACCACATACGACCAAATATTCTTCCCTACATTCCCGAGTTCGGTCCTCAGTTACTCTAATTACTTCAGTACATTTCTCCCTTCGAGAAAGGGTGAAGACGTTAAAACGGAAAATCGACCAACCTGTATTCACGTATGTTGACACAACCTTGAAGAAATCAAAATTTGAACACCTCGTGGTCTACCTTAACCTGAAAGGCTAGAGAATTAAGACTTCTTCAATAAATTCCAACACATATTGATAAATGGACTGATTTTGATGTAAAAAAACACTATTAAATAATTTTAGAAATAATATTTCTTCTCTTTTCTTTCCTATAAGATCAGGATAACTCGGTGGACGTAACAGGAGGGTTTGAACGTCAAAACTGAACAGATTTTGTTTTCACACGTTGTAGTGATATTGGATCCTAGCCACAAGATCGTGTAGCTGAGCATTTTATTGCAAAGAAGAATTTCATTCAACGCGTAATATCAAAGGAAGGTCAAAAGTTGTGAAGGCAGAAAAGTTTATTGCTATTACATGACTCAGCGGTGCAAGCATGTTCATTCTATGTAACTCATGTCTTTCCACATTAAATATATCATTTTATCCCCACTTAAAGTGTGTTCTTCAAAAGTACCAAACGTTATTTTGATTTTATGAGAGCAAGAGTAGCATAGGCAATGATGTAACTTCTACATAAGATCTTATAGAATAGGTAGTCACATCATTTTAAATCAACAGTTTCGAAATAAGGGCTATTATTATAGTAACAAAGATAAGTACATTCATACCGTACTAGACCAGAAGTATGCAGTCACCAATATGGAACTTGCCAAGTGATCAAGTGACGTCTACAGCTTCAATCGATCCATTCAGATGAAGACTGAAGACTCATCTTAGTGTACTATGAAAAATCAATAAAGGATGTCCACCTTCTGTCTTGAATGGTCAAATATATAAATGTTAATCTGAAATCTGACTATAAAGTTGTTTCATCACTCCGAGCAACCGAGCAAAGATCAACCACTGTAACATTGAGTGTCGTAACACTTCAATTTTTAGGAACCAGGAAGTTTGAACCTTGTGCTACTGTGAGTTTTTGCCGAAGTTGCGTAACATTGTTCAAGGTAGACAGGAGTTTAAATAACAGTTTCTTACATATACTATTAATTCACATTTCTAAAAAATTATCGTGGAGTTTCTTCCCTTGCTATTCAAGCTTATTATTCGACATATTTGTTTATTATTATATATTGTAATCTACTGTATACAGTAGACTATAGTCTACTGAATGTATGGATATATGTGTACAAAAGTAGGAACGTTGCACTTTTGATCAATCAAAAGGCGGTGTTTTTAGGATAATTTCTTACACGACTGTGAATTTAGATTTACTTGTTTCTCAAAGTAGAGAAATACTTCGATCTTAACATTTTTTATTAGTTCGAACTCAGCTTAACTATAGTCCTATATTTGACCAATCATCACGCTTATTTCAAGTTGTAGATGCTGTTTCCTGTTAACTTCCAGCTTTATTATTGAATCATTAATTAATATTAACTAGCCATCCAAATATTTCACTTTGGTGTACGTTCTGATTATTTCGTATATTCTAATGTTTAACACCTTGGTATTGTTTGCTATCAGCTCATCAAAACTGATATACAAATCCTTATAGCTGAAAAAAAATCAAGATCCTAAACCGGTCCATTAAGTCGCATAGTCGATCGAAACTTATCTATATATATAGAATAAATTTCTTTGGATTTTGTCTTTTTGCTTTAACTAATGTATTTTAAGCATTACGCGTGTCGTCCCTCTGTGTGCAAGTTGGTATGCATGAGAGAATCCTGAGAAGAGAAGTATAATAAAAAAGTGGCTTGACTTTTCTGTGAGATTTTAAATACGCTAAATCCTACCACAACTAATTCTAAGGCCATTTGTTTTTTGAGTAAACAAAGCGTTGATCTTGCCAAATTACATCATCTGTCACGTGTGATACATATATTTATCCATATTGAATGACATGGATGTCTCAGGAAATTACATTGTTATGTCCTATGACAAAATATAATTACTGGACATGGCTGACAAAATGCAGAATCTTTTGGTAGCACTAAGCAACAATGCCAGAATGTTTGAAATGCGCTTCTCCCCCTCTAAATGCAAGTTGTTGCTTCAGGACTGGCCTGCGTCAATACCTGAACTAAGGATAGGGAGTGAAGTAGTCGAACGCGTTGACAACTTCACTTATCTTGGAAGTCTGATCAGCCCTAATGGTTTGGTGTCTGACGAAATCTCAGCACGGATTCGAAAAGCTCGCTTGACTTTTGCCAACTTATGTCACCTATGGCGAAGGTGAGATATCCATCTATCAATAAGAGGACGAGTATACTGCGCGGCAGTCCGTTCTGTTTTACTTTACGACAGCGAAACATGGCCATTAAGAGTAGAAGACACTCGTAAGCTACTAGTATTTGATCACAGATGCCTTAGAAATATTGTTGGCGTCTGCTGGCATCACCGGCTAAGTAATAGTGAGGTTAAACACAGGGTATTAGGGAATGATGGTAAGTCAGTCGATGAGATTGTGAATTTTCATCGACTGAGATGGTTGGGCCAGGTGTTACGTATGCCTGAACACCGATTACCACGACGTGCAATGCAAACCGGTGTAAGGGGTGGTTGGAAGAAAGTTTGGGGCGGCCAAACCAAAACGTGACATCAATGCTTGAAGTCACTAACTTCTAGTTTGAGCCATGTTGGTAGATGCAGACTACTTGGTTGGGGTCCGCGTGACTTTCGTCATCAATGTTTGGAGACTCTTGGTGACATGGCTCAGAATCGGTCACAATGGCTTCGGTGTATACACTCTCTGTCTTCCCTTAAACTAAGAGATTAAAATCGCTTCATATCTTTCTTTCTACCAACTAAATCTTTCTTCCTGTACTATATCTTTATTGTAATCTTTCTTTTATATATTACCACCTCTGAATTAACTACTTTCATGAATCCGGTGTCCATCTTGTTTTGTTAATGAGGTATGGCAACTTGAAACAATGCATATATGTGCCTGGTCCTACGTTGTAGCTAACTGACTGGACATGGCATACAAACAAGTATTTACAAATGCACATCTTTTTGACCTTGTCTCTGTGTAGTTGATCAGTCAAGTGAGTGGCCAACTCGATCATAAGCCATCATTTTTTGAATCAGTTGAGATATGTTACGTGCCTGTACACACACACGACTTCTAAATGTTATGTTATCTTGTATGCAGACATGTCTGGAATAGATTAAGGGCGGACATGCCGCTTTACAAACCCATAAACTCTGACAGTTGGTTTTCATCTACGCAATTTCTTGCTCCTCGATAAGTTTGGAAATAAGTTCACGAAATTTGAAAAAATTAAAAAAGCAGTGCTAGACACTTAAAAATACCATCTGCATTTTAAAATCCTATGCTTTTCCTCTCCTAATTCACTTCCATCTATGTTATAGTTCGTTATTATCATGATGCGCTTAACATTCTTTTGTACCTTTTGTTTTTCTTTGTCGTATCACTGTTCTGTATGGCAGGTTAGAGAGAGAGACAAGTCATGGTTCTTATGTTCCTCTTCATATCACCATGTAACTGGTAGCGCAACCTTCCCATTTCATAAGTTCTTTTCGACATATGCTTGAATTTCTACTAGTTTCTATGAGAAAGACCTTTCTAAACGCATATCAGACAATGAAACTTCCTGCGGTTGGGCCATTTTCAGGTCGTTATGGAAATTGTTAATTTGCACATAAGTTTATTTGCTTTTGAATTGTTCACCTTATTTATTTTTACGAAAGATTCTTCTTAAGTATAGATATTTTAGTCATTCTTATCTTTTCTGTTTTTTTATCCTGATCCTGCTACTGTTTTGGATAGAGAGACATTTCAGTTCACTTGCAGTATGAATTTGAAGGATCTTGTAAGTCATTTAATTTTTGAGGTTACATACGGTGAGTTTTTAAAACCATTAATCTTGAGAATATGATAATATTTCAGTTGGTTATTAATTTCTTGAAATCGAAACAGTCATCATATAACCGAATGAATAAAAAGTAGCCATTTTTTCCAAAACACTGTGAATTAATAGTGTACTTTCTTAATATTACATAGAGCCCAGAACTGAAAATTTTCAGTTTTCGCTCAATCATTCTACTAGTCATGTACTAGGGCTTGCGGATTCGTGGTCATTCTTGGATGAGGGTAACCTTTAGGAAACCCTAAATAAAGTACTCATGTAATTCAACATTTCTTTTAATCATACCATAAAATCTCCTACAGTTCCAGCTTTGTCCTGCCAACGCTAGCGATTCAATTTCTCAGTGTTACTCTTAGTATGCTAGTACCACACTCGGAAGTACATAGTGGACTTTAAAGTTTTGGACAGGACAGGTTCTTGTGAACTAAATTTCAGTAGATTGTAGCTCATGCACTTTCTGACTAAGAGGATAATAGAAACTCGGTGGATTAATTACGCACCAATGTCTCTTCATCATCTCTGCCTACGTTACCAATGATCGTAGTTCGTACAAATTGAAGGATGAGTTTTAGAAAAGACTGTTTCTTCTACAAGAAGTCAAACACTTAGATGTAATTTTAGCAGTGGTTTTATCACCCAAATAGGTAGTTTGAAGTGAAATAGAAGACATTTAGATGGACCTTACTGTGTCCCAGCTCAACGAACAGATGACGACGAGCATCTGTCCAAACAACCGTTTATTCCTTAAAAGTATCAATTTTAAGCATAAGGAGAGACATCGTCCGACATGGCGACCAGTATAATTAAGTCAACGTTGGCCTCAAACAGGACGATACTGTAATTAGTCATCGTTGGAGAGGCTCAATAGGAGACTGCTGCTCATTCTGTGAAACATGTCTAGACTCTGATCCTGCTCCAGTAAGAGAACGTGTTTGTTTGCGTCATACTAGACCCAGAAAATCTAGATCAAGAAGACCCCGAATAGTTCAGCTTTACTACGGAGTACAGAGTATATTTCAGAAACAATGAGGAAAGCAGTTAGTTAATCTCTAATGCGACACTTATCTCAATATGTATTAGCATAATATCCAGACAGCTGGAGAAACAGCAGTGAGATCTACCAGTAACTCATACTATAAAGTTGAGAAACATCAATAGATTTCAGTAGTGTTTACTCAGTTGATAAATGTTTGAAGTCTCATCTCATCTGGCTCGGAATACAATAAGGAGTAAAGCATTTGTCTAGTGTAGAAATAAGTTAGAAAAGAGCTAGAGGCAGCAAAACCAAAACAGGATTAGTGCACGAAGAAGCAAACTGTTGGATTGAGCTGTAGGTTCCTCGTGATTATCGCAACCAATGGTCAGAGACTTTGTATGATATGGTTTGGAATTATTCACAATCGCGCAGATGGATTCACTCTTTAGCTTTCTTTAGATCATGTTTTAAAAATCCTTGTATATTTTCATTCCACTAATTTAGAATTTCGTTGTATAACCTTTTTAATAGTACCTATACTATCTCCACCATTGAATTCGTTCCGACAGTTTCATCTGGATGTACTTATGACGTATAGAAACTCGAGCCGATGTACTTATGTCTCAGATTCTGTGTTGCGTTTGACTTATCGAGAGAGCTGCGATGATGGATGGAAATTTTCTTAAAATGGTTCTACTGTTCTCAAGCTATCTTAATGTTCCCGAATATCCTGGATCGAATGTCGATACAAGCTCTCCGAGTCCTAATAAAACTGAAAGGGAAATAACTAATCTGGAGAAAGAAAGAAAGCAACGAACCCTGAAAAGCCAACCTCATAGATGTGTTGGACTCGTAGTCTAGTTTTAGCAGCTAGGCTGACCAAGATAGTTGCTTGAGTCTTGGATCTGGACTTAATCCCACCTGACCAGTCTCTGTCGCAGGTCGCTTCAGTCTATAACTAAGGACAGAAATTATCATAAAAATACAACAGAGAAATCAGTTCGATTAACATTTTATCTAAAATATTAGCCTCAATAATCAGCTGGAGCTTAATTGAGGCTTGTGGTGTTGGGCTCAAGAAAATCAGATTGGTTTCAAATTTGGACTTAGATGTATTGATCAGATACCAACCCTTTGTCAGGTTCTAGAGCATTCACACACCCATTATCGGCTCACAGTAGTTGCATTTCTTGATATGAGAGCAGCGCTCGGTTCCTTTAATGAAAACCTCATATAGTTGTGTTAATCATAAAAAGAAGTTTCAAATAGGTACATGAACCTTGATAAAATTTTCTATTCGAACACTGTTGGTCGAGTCAATGATTGTGACGAACCATCAACTTCAAATGATGTTCGTCGGGCCTAATTACTTTCCCATTTCTAGTTGACTTTCTCATGAGATAGTATCTTTGTCTAATCCTCCAGGGATTGATCTTTAACTGGGCGATTCACTTATCCACTTGAATTTGTTTACTTATTTAAACACATAAATATCGGTACAAAAACGCAACAAAATATATATGCACCACACAACGTAGTTATCACTCAATTTGCTTGTGAGCTAGGGTAACCTTCAGCTTCTCAAACCTAAACAGGTGGATTTTAAGGGCTCGATTTCCTAGCCTTTGACCCAGGCCCCCAAATGCCCTGGTACGGCCAAGAGTAAGGTGAGTCCGCTCACCCTCTCGAGATGCTCTCACATGGCCACGAGTATATAGTCTCTGTCAGGGAAGTCCTACTCACTGACTTCTCGTCGCCGGAATGTTGTTTGTGAAATTGAGAGGACGAAAAGCGAATGTCCGGCGCTTTAACCGGGTTGATGGACACAGAGGACCCACCTAGGGGAGTTGGGAAACCCTGATTCCAAACGAACGGTGCACATGGGCCCCAGTATCCTGAAGGAACAAATGGCGTATGGACTAATCGTTGGTCACCGGCTACCATGGGACTGCATCTCCTTACGATGCTCCACTGCCTTGTGGATCAGACCTTCATTTCGAAGGCTCCGAGTGTGGCCTCCTAAGAAAACCACGTGCTTCGGTTTGGGCACCCGGGCAGTATCACAGCCGTCAAACAAATCAAGTGAGATTTGTGTGGCGCATATGTATTTGGTGCCTCCTTGTACCAATATCTATGTGTTCAAATAAAAAATAATAATAAACGTTTAACTCAGAGATCTAATCTGTAGTATCTAGAACTATGTCAAGCCCACATGGGAACGCTAGCGTCCAGACAGACCACGTTATTTATTCTTGAGTCATATTTTGACCTTGTCAATTATTCGCTCATTAACCTTGACTATTTCTATATGAAAGTATGTATATGTATCACATCTTTGGCTTACTTTTATCTGGCTATAAATATTGAGTCACATTTGTTCGGAGTCAATAGGTATGTGAAGTATACGTATCCAAAATTCTCGTGTTTAATTTTATTCCGTTATTCTCTAATGCAAATTAAGTCGATAATTATATACGAGAGTTGGCGGCATTTTTATCTTGTTAACATCATCATTCAATCAAATTGGTGACAGATCAACAAACCACGAAAAATCCACAAGGCAGTAAGACGACGTTAAGAGATGCGGTCCCATCATAAACGGTGGCTAATAATGGGTTCAAGAGCCGTTTTTTCCCTCAGGATCCTGGAGCCCATGTACACCATTGGTTTGAAATTAGGGTTTTGCAACCTCACCAGATGAACCTTGCGTAGCCACTGACCAGATGTAAGCACCGAACCTTCTATTTTCTTCGCAATTTCGTAAACAACAGTAATGCCGCGAGAAGGCATTGAGTAGGACTTCTCGGCAATGGCTATACACGTGTGGCAAGAAGGCGAGCTGAATTTCCCCACCTTCAACCGTATCAGGATATTTAGAGGCTATCCATTTAAAATACACGGGTAAAAATCCTGTTTGATGAGGTTGACTTTTGATTTCCTTAAGGGACAATTCAAAATGTTACTTTAAGACTGATCTATGTCAGTGACTAAAATGTTATATAGCGAAATATTTGAGTGCATGGACTGCTTCACGTATTTCAGAAGTCTCGTCAACTCTTGTGGGTTGTCATCTGACGAAATCTCAATACGGATTCTGTAAGCTCGGTTGGCTTATGCAAACTTGAACTTTTCAGTGCATAATTAATGATAAATATAATCTTGGGGTTACTTGTTAAATTATGCTTACTATAAGTTATTTTACCGATATAATCTATTTTGTTTCTAATATTGTTTTAGGTTCCTGAAGAACGTATGAAAATTGCTGCTCTTTTGGCAGAGAAAAAGTAAACTTTTAAACATCTAAATAAAATTTACTTTTCCCCATAATTAGGAGTACAAATGAGAATTCATGGATGTATGAGAAACCGAAAGATGATCCCGAAGCATTTTTGTTAGGAAAACAAGTTCAAAGCTTAAACCAAATTCAGGAAATCGGTAAAGGTAAAAGAAAAAAATCGAGTTATTTAAAAAAAATTAATTTAGAATATGATGAATCACCTGCTCAACGACTTGCTAGATTTGATATGGAAGCCAAATTTCGTGAAGATCCTCTGACAATTATGAAGTGATTATTTAAATCATATTAAGGTATTTTACTCATTTGCTTAATAGGCAAAGAGAAGCGGAAAAACGAATAGAACTGCTTCAGAATACTGCTAAAGTTAGGAAGCTTCGAAGACTTGTAAGGTCTATCCAATCATTTGATAATGTGTGTTTTTATAGCTAACAGAGCAAAAATTGCGTAAAGAAAAACGTAAAAGTAAAAAACATTTAAAACAAAAACGTCTGCATAAAAGTTCAGATGAATCAGAGGGAGGTAGTTCAGATGATGAATTACTGAATAAGTTCATTGAAATTATTCATCAATCTAATGAACTGAAAGAGGATAGTTCACATAAATCTATGGATAAATGTAGTAAAGAATCATCTAGTACTGTTAAAAAACAACTTTCAAATCCTTATGATCAGGAACATGCACTTTCAGACCAAAAGTGTTCAAATGTGAACAGAAAACATCATTCAGGACGTAATCAATCAATTTCATCCTCTTCAGAAAGATCTAACTATCACAAATCATCATCGAATCGACAAAAGTTATCCAAAGAAGAAATCGAAGCTAAGCGAGCCCAAATGATTTCTGATGCAAAAGAACATGAAAAAGAACGTTTACATCGTTCCACTACTCACTATAAGATAAAAAAGAATGAAGAGGAAAGGGAATTAGCCTCGAAATTTTCTCATGGACCATCATTTATTAGTCATTTAAAAAACCAACACGTTGACAGGACTACTTTAGAAGAAGGTATTCATCGTAAGGCTAGTAATCGTCAGAAAGGGGAGCTTCATGATAATTTTATCAAACGCTAGAAAAGGTCTTTTAATTTTCTGATTATATTGTAAATAAAAAAATGTTTCTTTGATAAATTGCATAAATGTAATTTGTTGTTCTGATAATGAGTTTTACTTTAGTACCCAATTTAAACCTCTTGTGCGGTCATGTCATTAACGTTCATTCCTCCTGGTTAATTTGTTACGGACAAATTAGATTCAGAACTACCTCCTAGTTAACGTGTCTTTCAGTAAGTTTACTATTAACTGACCGACCTGATATCGAGTTCTACATCTTCCAGTGTGTCTTAATGCCAAATTATTTATTTTAGTTAAACACATAAGCATTCTCTATTTGTCCTTGTAGGATCCTGGAGCCAATGTTCATCATTGGTTTGGAATCACGGTTTTCCAACCTCACTAGGTGGATCCTCCACATCCACTTGCTTGGTTAAAGCACCGGGCACTTGCTTGTCCTTTCAAACTCCGCTGCGAGAAGGCATTTTTATATACGCGTGGCTATGTAAAAGCTTTTCGAGAGGGTGAGAGAAAACTCCACACCCTCAGCCGTACCAGGGCTTTGAGTGCAATACCAAATTGAATTAATCGTGAATTCTGAAGAATTCGTAGTTATGTCACCTCCCTAATTCTGAACCACCTTTCAGGTGATATAGGGTACTGTAAAGTATCTAATCCATTATACATATAATTTTTATATCTCTGTTGCTTATGAAGCACAGTGTTTAAGTATATCTTAATACATATGCAATGAATATCGTTTTTTAACTAGCGACGCTGGGACTGGGTGTAAATGACGGGAAGGTGGTCAATTTATGATGTTGTCAACGAGTATGAGAGTTGTGGAAGAATATTCATCACGGTTTCCTAGTTTTACTTTGAGAGCAAATACACTTAACACAGAAAACGTTAAAAACAGAATGATAGTCGTCAAAGATTGAGATACATGGCGACTCCAAAGGCAAAACAAAACGATTTTGTTTCCCTTCAAATGAATCGTATTATGCCGAAATATATCAAAGTTAAAAATCCATCAAAGCATCTAGGATAACTTTACAAAAGTCTAATTGTGAACATTTGGTTGTAGTTTTTTTCTTAATTATATCAAATCTCTGTTAGCCCAATGAAAAATCTAAAATGATACGAAATCAACTAGATAACGTAAGCTAACAAGATATAACGGAAAGCTTTTAATTAATATGAACCATTGTGCGAATAAAATATATACTTAACAAATACATAATAGATTATGTAATTAGACTGAGGGTACTGATATCCATCCCCCAAATGCCCTGGTACGGCCGAGAGTGGGGAGAGTCCGCTCTCACATGGCCACGCGTATATAGCCTCTGCCAGGGAAGTCCTACTCACTGACTTCTCGTGGCGGGGATGTTGTTTACAAAAATGAGGACGAAAAGCGATTGTCCGGCGCTCTAACCGGATTTTAAACTGATGGTGCACATGGGTTCCAGTATCCTGAAGGAACAAATGGCGAATGAACCAATTGTTGGTCACCGGCTTCCATGGGACTGCATCTCCTTACGATGCTCCACTGCCTTTTGGATCAGACCTTCAAGTCGAAGGCCCGGGGTGTGGCCCCCTAAGAAAACCACCTGCTTCGGTCTGGGCATCAGGGCAGTATCACAGCCCTCACACATATCGAATGAGATTTGTGTGGCGCATATGTATTTGGTGCCTCTTTGTACCAATATCTATGTGTTCAAGTAAATAAACTGATATCCAACATTGACAATTTGTTACGATTGAATAGAATAATAAACAAAACACAATGATAAATAGAGAATATGTATATATATTCATTTTATTTGTGAAAACGATTATTTTTTTCATAGTGAAAGAACAGTGAAAAATACATATTATTACAAGTATCAAGAACTTAGGAGGGGGGTTATAGCAATAATAGTAATAATAACACACTGTCACATACACACATAGGTGAAACAAATAAAAGTTAAAATGGTGTACAGAATGTATACAAAGACAAGCTTGATTAAACAGGATAGTTACTACAAAATGACTTCAACCAATATAGTAATAATAAATAACTAAATACAAACATTCTATTATTGTAGAAAACAATACACAATGCAAAGATGATCAGACATTAGGAACTAAAAAAAAAGGGGGTTAACATGAAGTGAAGATTATTAATATGTATACGTATAAATACAACTTGAATTGGCATATAATAGATTCATAATTGAGAATAGTCAGATTTACAGTAGATGCACATACATTGAATAAAAAAAAATTGAAATTTTTACTGTATAAGGATATTTAATTGATTACATAACAACATACACCGAAAGAAATAACAAATGAAGTGTAACATTAATACAGAATCAGTAATAACAACATAATTGACGATGATAGAGTAGTATGATGAAAGAGAATGAAACGCAATAATAGAATGTATGTATATATAAATAACCTGGACCCGTCGTCATCCATGTATTCATTAGTAAACATTACGTATAGCGAAAAGTTACGTTTTACAAGGAGGTCTCATACATTTCTTTGCATTAAAAAAAAAGAAAAGAAAAAATCAAAGCTTATACATACATATACATGAGATAATGGAAGGTTGAAATGTTTCTTAAAAAAATATATATAATAAAAAGAGAGAGAGAAAAAAACATTACATAATAAATTGTCTGTGCAAGAGAACAATATTTGCTGAATATGAGGAAATCTTTTTTTAAAATAGTTTGAGATAAATAGATCATTGCACAAGGAATTGAAGTTTGATAAAATACAAAACATGGAAGATACTATCAAATAAACAATTTCCTAACAGTTAATTGATGATCATATAATATTTAGAAAGAAAAAAAACAACGAAGGATTTAAGAAAAAGAAGATAAATTGACATAAAGGAGGAGGAAAAGGCATAGCAAACATTATTAATGATCACTACCGTTAGTCAATAGTTCACCGACACTTCTTGACTTTCCACTATTAATATCTACTTCATTAAGTTTGATGTTAGTAGATGTTGGAATATTAGATTTTGTTGTTGATGATACTCGAAAATCACTTGATACATCATTAACTACTTCATACAAATGACTAGTACTGCTAGGATTTGATAATTTTACTTTTCCTTTATTATCATCACAGTTCCTATTGGAGCGTTCATTCGTAGTCGTTGGTGTTTGATTAAAATTAGATGATTCTAATTCGGAATTGTGTTTTTCATGTTTACTTTTTAAGGACCTAAAATTATCACCACCACAGAACTCGTCATCAAAACTTCTATGCACTTCCAACGTCTCTTTGGATGAACTTGTACTATCAGACATAAGTGTAGAACTACTTTGTATTTCCTCATTTGAAGCTTTCTGAGAATTTGAGTTACTATTATTCGACTCTTTATGTTTTACCCGATGTGATAGTAAACCATTACGCGAAAATGAAGATAAATACGACTGATGATGGTGAGAGATATGATTAGAATAGCAATGATGTGAATGACTGGATCGATTCACTGAAATTGACTTTGAAGCTCGAATAGCCATATCTGTTGGAGTTAACAGCGGTGGGAGGAGTGATGCAGCCGAACTGCTATGTGTGCTCCCACAACTACGAATAGTTGAATTTAAATTCGATTGAGTGATGTTTGAAGAAGTGTTTACAATATCTAGAGATGGAGGTGGTGACGGAGAATTTAATCCAACGGCTAAATGTAACTGATTTGTTTTCATGTAGTATTTTTCCATCTTATTAATGATATGTTTACCGTAAGTATATTTACGTAAAATACCTAAATGTGGACGAATTTGAATCATAAGCTCTTTCCTTATCGGTTGTTCAGCAACATCTAACATTTTCTGGATAACATAATTAGCAAACTGATCTTTCATCATCATAACTAAAACCGAACTTCTCGTTCTGGGTTCATCATCATCGTCATCATCATTTTCACTTAAACTATCATCAACCCGAAATTCCCTAGATTGATTTTGTCCATTTTGTACAATTTGATTTTCAGTTAACACAGTTTCTTCAAGTATTTCATTGATAAGTGATTGACGTTCAACTCGTGAAGCGTTCGCAACAGCTTTCTCTACAACATTACTAGCGAACTTGTGTACACTCAGCTTAGCTACACGACCTTTGATGTGTTCTACAATTCGGCTCTTATCTTCCGTTTTTCCGTGTTCAAGAACATGCTAGAAAAAAAAGAGGAATATTATATTTAAGATTAGGTATGTGCGAAAATAAACATGAATTTACAATCAGATATGTATCAGGCGCTCTCCATTAGAAATATCAATAATCTGTATAAGCTAAATCGCATAATTCTAGAAATTCGATTGTGTTTGTTTCGCTCAATTACGATGTTAAACTTGTAGAAAGGCCGTATTGTAAATGTATTCCAATTATGGAAATTCAATAAAAAGTAGATACTTGTTTACTAATAAGACAAAACTACTGTGAACATAATAAAAAAATCTCAAAAGTGCCAAAAGAGTATACAACAAATCCATGTCCTTAATTACATCATATAACTTCATAAACAAGAAACAGTATATTATATTAAGTACAAAATTTTCACCACCTACTTGAATTACATAATTTCCATACTGATCTTTAACAAGCGCATCAGTGTGTTGATGTAACTCAGAGAGAATTGGAGTAGTTTGTTCAGGTGTACAGTGCTCTAAAATACGTTGAATAACACGACAACCATACGAATGAGTAGATATCGAATATACCTATGAAGAAAACACATCCACAAACGTCGACATGAATTAATACGCAGCAAGCAATGCAATTAAATAAAATATTATAGGCACATTTTTACACATTTAAAGCAATTAGCTCTTGTGATAAATTTGGATGGTCTAATAGAAAGAGGAAATTATTGGAACTATGTGACATATTAACAAATATATATGTTGATTAATATCAAAAGGGCTTTTGTCGATATTATACTAATTGCAATTCTTGACATCATGAGTCAATTGAAGCTAGACCATGAAAAACGTGGAAGCACTGGACGACCATTTTGTCCTAGTATGTGAGTCCTCAGTAGTGTGCACCCATGATATTGTCTCGCGAGATTCGA